AAAGTCAGAATTCTGACTTTCTTTCTCATACTAAACTGAAATAAAATTTTAAAATCAGTAAACTTTTTTTTTTTTTTCCCAGTGGCCCTAATCCTCTTCCGTAGTAATGACCCCACTGAAGACTGAAGTAAACTTAAATAAGGATAAAGAGGTACCGGGATTTACAGCAGGATATGTACAAATAAAAGTCCAGTGAAAATAGAACAACTTGCTCAAGTTTCCAGTAAGAAATGGATCTGACACCAAGAACAACCGACGGATGGATCCACCATCAATCAGGCTCAAGAAGCACTGCATTCATCCAAACCAAACACACCCAGACTTCCTGAAGTCTGACTCAAAGAGACCAATAAAACTTTTGTTTTCAGGGTGAAAAGGTTTCCCGATCAGCAGGCTGATGGTGGAATAAGTTAGATTCTCCTCTCCATCCTGAGTAACAATGATCTAACATCACTGAAGATAAAGAGAAGCAATTTTGGCACTTTTTTCCAGAACCAAGCTGTGCAGTAAAAATGGAGACATGTTAAATAACATTAGCTGTAAGGTGGCAGTCTGCCTCAGACCCCTGCAGTCTTTTTTCCGTTTAAAGGTGCAGCTTTAACCACAGTTGTTTGGATAGCTCCGATGCTCACAGTTTAAAGTCCGGGCTGTCAGAGCACAGCCAGCCCGCCGTCGCAGCGGCTGGTGATCATGTTGCCGACCTCAGTCCAAGTGTCCAGGTGAGGGTCGTAGATCTCCACGGAATCCATCGTCACTGGTGCTGAGAAGTCGTTGCTGGCGGCGCGTCCGCCCACGGCGTACAGCAGCCCGTTGACCGCCGACACCGACACGCCTGTGCGCGGCGTTGACATCGAGGCGACCTCCACCCACTTCTCCTGTGGAGACACATCGCAGGCTGTGAGGAAAGTTCTCAAACACTTGCATGTTTTGGCGTTACATCAGCCCAACCTCTTCAGGACAGTATTTTTCCACCGTGTCCAGAGCGCCCAGTGCCTCGTTCCAGCCTCCCACAGCGTATATACAGTTGTTCAGGCAGGCAACGCCTACGTAGGCCCGGCGTTGGCTCATCACCGGCAGGGCGCTCCAACGACGGGATATGGGGTCATAAGCCTCCGCAGAGCGCAGCTCCCCTCCCTCATCACTGATCCCACCGATCACATAAATCAATCCTGAGCAGAGATGAAATTTTAGGTGTAATAAAAGGCAAAAGTAGTATTTGTTTAAAGCAAGAAAGAAGAAGAGATAATCAGACCCTGTAGCTCACAGCAGCCAAAGTAATAGCGTGGAACTGCCATGCTGCCGATGACCTCCCACTTATTGTCCTCTGGGTCATAGCGCTCCATGGTTTTGCCGATCTCAGATCCAACCCAACCGCCTAGAACCAAAGAAGCGTTTTTAGCTGTGCAAAAATATTTCTTCCAGTTTAACGTCGATGTTTTGTCACATTACAGCAAACATTAACTTTTTATTTTAGGACTTAAGGGGCCAGACCATTAGAAAGTACTGAATAACAGTACTTTTATGTCTAAATGTTTTACTTTAAAGTTATAGAGGAGGATGTTCTATTTCCGGGTGGATCATCAATATAAGTGGTCCTCCTAATTGTCAATCATTCTGGTGATATATTTACGTAAGGCTGTCCTACGTACTCTGCATGAGTGATGCAAACAACTTTTAAACAGAGCGTGCACAAGGAGAAAAGGGCTCATGCACGCTCTCGCACACGTTTAATAGTTGTTCTCTCTTGGGAGCGGGTACAGGGTTGTGTATGTGCATTTTTTTTTTTTAAGTGGAGAGGGCGGGTCTTTTCAAACATTCGTGAAAATCCTCCACCTTGAATTTCCTACCCCAAAACAAAGCCCAGCACAACCAGTCGGCTTCTACAGAAGCGTATTGCATCAACCGAGAAAAAAAATCTAATGAAAATGTTCTAGTTTTCTGAATTAACGACATAATTGAAAGCAAATAAATAAAAGTGTTCTGTTGTTCTGAATTACAGAGATAATGCTGCTGCTTTAATAATGCACATTTTGCTACTGTTCTAAGCAAGAGATGCCTTTCCTTCCTTCAGAGAAGCTTCATGTCACGTTTGTTAAGTTTAAATTATTTTTACTTTCTTTTTGGGATTGAGATACAGGGAAATAATCTCTTAGTTATGTATTATTGCTATGAGATAGTCGACTTTGTGAAGACACCTATGCACTGGGCGCTACTCATGGCACGTTATTCTTCCTTTTCTCTTCATAGTTTGTCATTACTTAAAAAAAAAAACGTTTTTATTTATTTTTTATATAAAAAAAGGTCTTGTTAATTCAGAAAACAGTAAAAAAAATGTTATTATTGCAGGTGAATGCAATATGTTTCTTAGGGCTTCTGTAGTCAGACATTTATCACAAAGCAAACGTGGAAGAAGCTGCTCTAGTTTGATATCCTGAGTATCACCTCACAGACGTGACACATTTTTCAGGCTTTATAATTGCAAAAAAACGTTTTTTGTTACATTGTTTATCCACCAATAACTTACTAAGCCATCTACTAATAAGATGACTTCTGATTCTCTTTAGGCGGCTTTAAAATAAGAGGACCCAATGTAAACTTTCAGGTCTTTTAGGTTAAAACAGAAATATCCTTTGGCTTTCTAGCTAGCAGTAATGCTACGTTCACACCGGAAACAGCAGGCGCAGCAGAAGCAGTGAGTTTACATGAAAGTCAATGACGCATGTCAAGGTGCAGCAAAAGGTCCCGCAGCGCGTTTTGAGCAGCTGAAGCAGCGCGTCGGGCGCGTTTAAGCATCTGACACGCCCCAAACGAGCTGCTGCTCGAGATGGAAAAATATTACTTTTGCTGCTCGACGAGCCGCGTCAACCAATCAGAGACGCTGATCTGGGAGCTGGCCGTGAGACATACACATAGCTGATGACACAGAGCGCTGTGATCACTCCTCTGAAACAGTTTATTGACGCATAAATTAACTTAAAATGCTGAAACCTGCCGACAGAATATGTTCGCTTTTATTATCCTGGTGCCTGCAGTTTGGATTATTTTGATGAAAAACACCTACCAGCCGCCGCGGTGAACCGCAAGGAGGCGACCCGGCCAGAGGCTGCTGTTGAATGGGATCCTACTGTTGGTGCACCGCTGGTATGTGGGGGTCTGAGCGGCTCCGACAGAAATAATATTGGAAGTCAGGATGGTAATCTGAATGAACTGAATGCAATGATTAAGTTTTCAGGTGGGTTTTCTCACTTAAAAAGATATTAAAACTACTTTATTCCCACTGATCACAGCAAATATAGCTGCAAGGCAGAGAAAGGATAGAGTAGCTCCGCCCAACGCGCGCCAGACACACTTTTGCACTGCGCAGCCAGAGCAGCAAAGCTGCTTCAGCCGCGCGTCAGAACTAAACTGGTACAAGCAGCAAAAATGAAGCAGCAGACGAGAATTTTGCTGCTCCTGCTGCATCCGGTGTGAACGTAGCATTATTGTGACAGGCAGGTAAAAGTGGACAGATACACAAAGGTGCAAACAGAAAAGTAGTTAGAAGAGACTGAACAGTAAGGATCCATGTATAGCATAAGGGGAATAATGCTCTGATTCAATGATATGTGCGACTGAGCAAAAACATTTAACTGCACGTATTTGTGCATAAAAAAAAACTCTAGACTAAAAGAAATTGAAAAAAGTAGATATAACAGCAGGGATGTAAACAGTGTTTAAGGGGGAGTAAAGTTATAAAGTCTAACAGCTGCTGGGAGGAAGGATCTGTAAAAACGCTCTTTTTAATCCGTTAGGAAATTTCCACTTCCTTCTCTTCCTACTACGCAGTGCTCTGTGTTTTTGGTCTTGGTTAATAAAGCCAAACCTCTGGATTGACAGCATTATTAGTTCTATTAGTTTTCTGATCTGATTCAATGACGGTTGTGAGGTTTACCGAGTGCATATAGAGCGCCGTGGCAGGGACAGACACCGACTCCACATCGAGGGGAGTTTAGAGATGCTACTGTAGCCCACTGCTTTGTGACAGGGTCGTATCTCTCTGTGCAGTCGAAAATCATGGAGTCCTTCTCTCCTGTTGGAAAAATAAACACAGAAAAATACGGATGCAGTTGTTTTTTTTTTTTTTTTAAAGTCTGTTTTCATTCAGAAAGCTTTCTCACCTCCCACCACATAGATCATGCCGTCCATGACTGCCACTCCCAGCCCGCTGCGAGCCTGATGCAGGGACGACACGGTGGTCCAGTACTGGTTGAATGTGTCAAAGCGCTCCACGCAGCTTAGCGCCCGGCTGTCGCTCCAGCGGCCGCCCTGCAGCCGAGTGTAGCCTCCTGAGACGAAGAAACAGGCGCAGTTTCACTTCTACGTTTTCTTGTGACACCCATTTAATTTAGGTTTTAAAAACCCATTAAGTGCTACATTGTAGAGATAAATGATGTAGAAAGGAACCTATAGCGTAGAGGTACTTCCTGGCTTTTCTTCTAGGTCTCATCTTTGCTGGTTGGAGTTTGTTTTCTTTGGGAGACTTGGGGACCTCAGTGTATTCCTTCAGCAGGGTCTGCAGTGCCACCCGCAGGCTGAAGTCGGTAATACCTTCGCCAAAGACAATGGGACAAAATGGTTTTCAGCAAAGGATTACATTTGATACATCTTACTTTTTAGTGACCTGAAATATGACATATCTGTTAAAGAAAAAACACATAAAGGAACAATTTTAGAAACATGATCAACAGGCTAAATATATTTCACATACAAATAGAAATCTGTGAAAAATACAGCATAAAAAGCAAAAATGCCTCAACACACAAAATAAAACAGAGAACTTTAAAGAAAAAAAAACAAAATCAGAAAACTTTTTTTTTGTTGTTTTACTTTTCTTTTTTAAAACTTATAACACAAATACATCTAAAATTGAGCTGTATTCCACACAGAATGTACTTTTTTTTCCTGTGATTTTGATCATTATGTCTTCAATTAAATTCCAATAATTAAAAAAAATAATCCCAAAGAGAAATGTAATTACTTACAATGGAATCAAAACCCAAAGGAGTTGGATATCAGCTGGGGAAAAAACGTGGACCTTTGCTTGTGGTGTTACAAAGTTCACACCACAGCCTGAAGTGACCCAAATCCGATTTTTTTTGCCCAGATGCAACCTTGATCTTATCTTTTCATGACTGTCTGAACAACATAGATCCGATTTTTTCCAATGCAATCCAGGCCACTTGGCTATGTGGTTCTGAATCCGATCTTTTTAAATGCGACCTGTGTCTGAACCGTCAGGTCGCATCCATCCGACCTGAATGCCATTAATACCAGACAGTGATCACTCTTCTGCTTCTTGCTACGCAGAAGTGGAAAGAAAAACAACAATGGTGGACAACGATGCGGAGAGTATTTATGTTTAACCATCTTGGAAATATTGAGTTTTTAAGGCTGGGAAAGATCCCTAGATGTTCTCCAGCACTACCATCCATGTTTACACACATGTAAACACACGGCACGCTTGCTTGTGACGTCATTGCGTCCTCTACTGCGCATGCGGGACACTTAGTAGGGTTCCTACAGCATAAGGCAAGTTAAATTCAAGACTTTTTAATGCCACTAAAAATTTAAGACCAAATTCACAAGAAACACAAGAAAAACCTGCTTGCGACAATTTAACCCAAAGGTTTATTTTAACATAAACCACTGCACTAATGTTTCAAATTTTGAAAAACTTCCCATACAGGAAGAAAGCTAAAAACACACAAATGATTTAACAATTAT